GTGTTTGTCTTCGACAATTCGGGGTTTTCGGCTTTTTTTTTTTTTTAATATATATATATTTCGAATTTTGTTTGTGTTTTTGTTGTCACCACAGTTTTCTGAAGCCACCATCCAGTATGGATCCAGTATGGATGGTGGCTTCACTTGATAGGACACTTAATATTGGGAAGCAATACAAACAGTGTAGGGAGTCCTCTCCTAGATCTGGACTCACTATACACTGATCGGATCCAGAGGGCCGGACGTATTGACGTTTTGGACAATGAGCTGCAGACCCCACCCACCCAGGCAACAGTCTGTGCCTCTTCCCTCCGGGAAAAGGTACATGAATATAAAGACTCAAACAAACAGACTGAGACACAGCTTCTTCCCCAGAGCTGTGAAATCATTCACCCCCCAACCCCTAGTCTCACACACACACACACACACACACACACAACCTCCCTCCTATGGACATACACAGACAGAACACTGGACCTCTGCAGACACACACACATGCTCACACCTCTTCCTAAAGGCTTGCGATTTGCACTGAACTGCACCTTATAATGTTACTATACTCTTGCTGCTGACCTGATTAGGTCCCATACATCCTTCTTTATTTGTTCATACTTTTATATTGACTTGTATAATTTAGTGTTATGTAAATAATGTGTCTTTTAAGCCGAGAGCTGCCAGAAAAAATTTCGTTGTGCTATGCATAATGACAATAAACTTGACTTGACTATTTGGAGTTAAGATGGGTGTAAAGGTAATCTAGAGGTACCCAAAATTAAACATTAAATGGCTGTAAATGAGCATGCAACGTACAGATGAGACTAAAATAGTTTTTTGTTCGAGCACATCATTGTACTGAAATGAGGTCTTCAAAGAAAAGACCACGGTTCCAACATGGTGGAGGTTCATAGATGTTTTGGGGTTGTTTTGCTGCTTCAGGCACTGTATGTTTGGCATTATGAAATCTGAAGACTACCAACAAATTCTGGGGCCCAATGCAGGGCCCAGTGTCAGGAAGCTGGGTCTCTGTCAGAGGTCATGGGTCTTACAGCAGCACAAGGACCCAAAGCAGATGTCAAAAAGCACCAGAAATGATTTCAGACAGTGAGCTGGAGAGTTCTGAAGTGGTCAGCAATGAGTCTAGATCTAAATCCCATAGATCACCTGTGGAGAGATCTCAGAACAGTAGCAGGGAGAAGGAACCCTTCAAATCTGGGAGACTTGGAGCAGCTGGCAAAAGAAGAGTGGTCCAGAACTCTAGTAGAGAGGTGGAAGAAACTCACTGAGGGTTACAGGAAGTGATTGATTTCAGTTATTTTGTCCAAAGGGTGTGAAACAAAAAATTAAGTCGAGGGTGTCAATAATTCTGTCCAGTCTGTTTTTGGAGTTCTGTGTGGAATGGATCAGATTTGGCTGTTTTCTCTACTTTTTTGTATCGTTCTAATGCAAACAAAAGAAATAAACATAAAAATACCAAAGAATTTGTGATCACAACAATTTTCTGGGAGAAGTGATGCGCTATCTGACAGAAATGCAGGGGTGCCAATATTTTTGGCCATGACCGTAGTATCCACAACCCCTTTAACTTTACAGAGCCTTGTAGACACAGTAGAGGTCAGACCAGTTTACGTCTAATCTAAGTTGAGGTCTAGTGCTAAGTGAAACGCGCTTAAAGCTGGGACACTGCAAATGAATTACACAAGCTCGTACGTAGATTTGTGGGCTACACTGATTCTGTGCGTATGTAATCTCGTGTTTTGTAATGTTTTTCTTTGTCTCTCTCCGTTTGTCTTGCTCTGTGTCAGGCGAGCCCCTGGAAAAGATGCACTAAATGGTAAGAGAGAGTTTCACCACATGATTTAGCTGGGACAGACCCGTTTGAATCAGTTGGTTGAACAGCATTCACATGCACATCATTATCAAAATGACCTTTGTGTTTAATGTGTGCTTGTGTGATGTAATCTGTACTGTAACAAGCACAGTCTCAGAAAATGAGAAGAGAGATGTTGTGGCACTTCCAGGATATTATTGAATTTTTAGGTGGTTTGTTCATGACATAGAAAGGTTGATGACAAGTTGCTGACATTGCATTAGATGATGGTGTAGAAAGGCCAACTGGTTTATACATTATTTTGGAAAAACTCAACTCATTTATAGAAAAGTGATTTTATGGTACATCAGGACCAGGGTGTGAATTTCTGCTGTAATAATCAATGTATATTTGTGTTAAAAAAAAAAAAAGAAAAAAAGATTTTACTGTGCTTTTCTTCTTCTGTGGTGACAGCTGCAGTTTCTCACTACATGCCACGTCAGAGCCACCTGGGACCCCGAAAGGACTGTGAGTGACCCACACTGACTGATTAAACAGTGCAGTCATTTATTAGTGTTGTGTTTTTGTGTGTGTGGGGTTTTTATTTATATTTTTGCTGTGAATACCATCGCTCCAAATTGCAGAAGGAGCTTGTTTCATTCATCGTTTGTCAAGCTAAAATACCAAAACGTTAACTAGTTGTAGTATCTCCACTGTGAGGATTTGTTGTTTTATATCTGGCTTTCTAACGTGAATAACTTCAGGCTGCCCATGAGGCCTCTTTGTGAGCTTCTGTTGTTGTGAAGTAGTACAGTGGCATCTGCTGTACGATGCTGGAACAGCTCAGGGCCTTTTGGTTGAATTCTGTGCCCAGATGATTGTCCAGTGATTAACACTGGCATATTTATCAAATGACATGAAGTACTCCTGTAGAAACTTTTGCCGAAACCTTGACAGTTTTCTTCCTTTTCTCTGTAGCTATTGGCTCCCCTTTCAAGCCCATGGAGAGCTACCAGTACTCAGGTTAGACATGGATTCATACACATGTACTGCATGGAGGAGGCTGTATTCTGTATCATGTTTTCATGTATGGTTTTAGTTGCTAAAATTATGATTATACTATTTTGGCTGTAACTAAAATGCTCAGCATTTCACTGAGAGAAAGAGCAACAAAGCCTGTAAAATATTATTCCTGTGCACTTTGCAGTTGTCTTAATGTGTTTTTGTTTTCCTCCTGTAGCTGTTGAGCGCAACAACTTGATGAGGCTGTCGCAGAGTATCCCCTTCACCCCTGTGCCCCCTAGAGGTAGGTCCGGATCACTGCCTCCCATTGGTCTACTTCATGTTAGGTCTGGGGAAAACACAGCGCAGACACTCCTGAGCATTCACAGACGCCGGCTGGAGAATGATGCAGTATGGAGCCAGTTATAAGATGTGGCTTCTGTGTTGTTTTGCCCTCACACACTTGCTGCTGTTTGCTTCACAGTCACCACAAAGCCACTGATGAACAAAGTATATATACAGTAGGTGCTGTAATGTAAGGTATTACCAGTAATAATAATAATAAACTTTATTTGTGTAGCACTTGTTGCATCCTCTCTACTTTTGGCACAAGGAGCAGTACTTCAGTTTTACCTGTGTTGAGCATGAGGAAGTTATTGTCCATCTCAGAACAGGTCTATCACATAGGTTGCAAGGGATGAGACAGAAGAGAGGATTTATGAAGTGAGTACCATCAATGTAGCATTGCAAAGAGATGTGCTTTTGAATGACTTACCCCATGTCAGTAGTAAATGGAGTTACACTTTAGCCCTTTTCTACACATTGAAGCATACTGAAAGCGCTTTCACACTATTTGCCCGTTAACTCATTTGCCCACACAAGGGTTCACACACCGGCGATATCACCAAGAGCCTCATGAAGTCTGTAATGCTGCATAATATTATTGACTACATATTGCAACTCTGCCACTGTGTGTTCCTTCAGGAGAGCCGGTGACTGTCTACCGCCTGGAGGAGAGCTCCCCCAACACTATCAACAACAGCATGTCTTCCTGGGCCCAGCGAGGCCTCTGTGCTAAAATCGAGTTCCTCAGCAAGGAGGAGATGGGCGGAGGACTCAGGCGGGCCCTCAAGGTGCTCTGCACTTGGTCAGAGTACGACATCCTGAAACCAGGACACCTGTATATAGTCAAGTCTTTCCTTCCTGAAGTGGTCCAAACCTGGCAGAGCATCTATAAGGAGGACACTGTGCTGCACCTTTGTCTCAGGGTAGGGAGGCACAGATGCATCATCTTATCTCATGTGCTGTAACACTGGGCTTAGTACCTCCACAGGAACTGAGATTAAAAGCCTTCAAGTTTATCTTGGCAGCGCTCCATGGATTTAGTTAGATTCAGGTCTGTGTAGATTTGAGCATGGCACCTCAGTGTTGAGGAGCTGCTGAATTGTTTTTACTGATCTCAAACAATCTTGTCATTTTAACTACATAGTGTTACTGTTAAGATCTAGTTGGCAAGTTTTTTTTTCTGCACAATGCTGGTTATTATGATGGAGAGTGAACGATGGGGATATGGTGGATACTCTACAATCTGGCAACCCTAAACTTCAGGATGTATTCGTCATTGTTGAGTACCTGCAGCCTGAAGCAGTATTTATATTTTAAATGGCTCAAGTGACATGATTTAAATACAGGTTTGAGCACTGCTGTAGCTCCATCACTTCCAGGGTGTGGTGGTGTTCTCTGCAGCTTTACAACCTGCCTTGCACTTTCTACCAGAAGTGCACGATAGTGTTTGCTTGTTCAAATACACTCCAATATGTCATAGTGCAGGACCTGAACTGTGGTTTTCCTGTGTCACTGCAGGAAATTCAGCAACAGAGAGCTGCACAGAAGCTGACGTTTGCCTTCAACCAAGTCAGGCCAAAGACAGTTCCTTATTCACCAAGGTAAGCATGCACTCAAGAGGGTTCACAGGGTGAAGACACAGACATGGCACCCTGAAACCTGAGTTGTGTGTGTGTGTGTGTGTGTGTGTGTGTTCAGGTTTCTGGAGGTGTTCCTGCTCTACTGTCACTCTGCTGGACAGTGGTTTGCTATAGAAGAGTGCATCACTGGGGAGTTCAGGAAGTTCAACAACAACAATGGAGATGAGATTGTGCCCACCAACCTCCTGGAGGAAACCATGCTGGCCTTCAGCCACTGGACCTACGAGTACACCCGTGGAGAGCTGCTGGTGCTCGACCTGCAGGGTAAAACACTCGGCACACACTCGGGACACATGATGAGGCCCACATACCGACACAGTGAATCCTTTACACTGCAGCAGCGATGGATAAAACGAGGCTTTCTGACGCACTAAACCAATAGAAAGCAATTGTTTTGAAAATTCATGGCATCTGCTGCTCAAATCTTTGACACTGCATTTGTATGGCTGGAGTAAATCTGAGACCAGGAAGACACAGCCAGATTGTAAGTGGTTTTAATGTTTTTATTATTAATGAAGCTTGTGTTATGAAAAGGGATCACTTTTAACATGACACTACCACTGTTCTTCAATACTGAGGCAGAATGAGAGGTACATGTAGTATTCAAAACCACAGCTGTGACATACTGAGTCTTCACTGGGGTGGCCACATAAAGCGAACCCTCGAAACATCTTGCTGTAATAATTTTGCTTTGAAAGGTCGATACAGTGTCGAGTCGTTGGCTTCGAGCTTAACATCACTACAATGTAGTCAAGTTCATCTGAAGTAGTTTTTTTGTTGCAATGAGAGAGTTGAACCAATTGGGCTTTTTGTTTTTGTTGTAATTGTGAAGTTCACATGGTTATGGCAAGTCATTGAGCTTAGCGAGCGTGCATGTTAGCGCACACACAGCATGTCCACTGGAGTTTTAATGCCAGTGGCTGAAAATACAAGGGTCAACATGTATGGTCATATGCCTACATCATCGTCATTTCTGTCTACATGCTTATAAAGCATGGTCTAACGAATGTATACACTATGGTCACATGGATTCTGTAGGTGCTCGTGTAGACTTGCTTCCATTGTTATGCAGAGGTACATAGTGATATGACCTAGTAGGAAGAGAGAGAGAGAGAGAGAGAGAGAGCACTGTAATGTGTTAAACTGTGTGGAACATTTAACAGGTTTGTTTTTGTTTTTTTAACAACACGTATTCACTTTGCATGTGGAATTAACATGCTGAGCTCAATGGCTTGCCCTGTGGGGATGTAATTTATCTGTTGGTGGTGGCATGTGTTTACATTAATAGTCTTTCTCTATTGACTACACTTAGTCGAGTTGTATTGTTGGGTTTTCTTTTTAATGTCTTTGATAACGAAGCTTGTGTGTGTTTGTACCTCTGTAGGTGTGGGAGAGATTCTGACAGATCCCTCAGTCATAAAGAGCGGAGAGAAGGGGTAAGTACACTCTCCATTAATTCTTCACATCACCTTTTATCATTTAAGTGGCTTCTTGTGACTTAAAAATGAGTTCAGGTTCAACTTTACCAGCTGCCTTTTTGTTGTTGCAATGTTTCCTCTGAACGACTTCTGTGCGACTCCTGCAGATCCTATGATATGGTGTTTGGACCAGCCAACCTGGGCGATGACGCCATCAGGAACTTCCGTGCAAAACACCACTGCAACTCCTGCTGTCGGAAACTCAAACTTCCTGGTGAGAGGTTTTACAGCTGCTGTCTGGTTACACGACTCCTGCACTGGATTACTGCTCAGCTGTGTTCATCTGTACAGGCCACACTCTCTATTTCTACTGATTCTACTGTTTGTGTTCTAATTCTAATCTGTAATGAAGCTGATGTTTTTCCTTTTTTCTTGGTGTCAGATCTGAAGAGGAACGACTATACACCAGACAAGTTGACCTTCCCACAGGACGACCCTCCCAACCCAGGGGGCAGCGTCAAGGAGTTCCGCCAGTCAATGAAACTGATGCTGTGATCAGTGAACGCTCACAATGTGATACTGACGTAGAAGGGCACACCCAGTCAACTGGAAGAATCATAACTGGGTTACCACAGAAAGTAGTGCATGTAGACTGTCCTGTGTTTGTTGGTCTGGCCATCATGCTGTGTCGAACACATTTCAACCATCTTCACCTTTTGTGTTTTACAACATTCACAGGGTGAAAATTTTTTAAGTTTTTTTTACACATTTAGGAATATACATACATATGAACTATCGACGGGTGCAGAGCTTATTTATTCTGAAGAAGTTGCCTTGTTTTAGCAAAAAAGAAGTCTAAGTGCTTTGTACATACATCTGTTACAGCAGCTTCAGAGAAGGCCTGCTGAGATTCAGTCACTGCGACAATGCAGTTTGCAACCACATTTTTATAAATATATAGTCTTGTATCACCAATTTCTGTCTTAGTTAATGAAAAGATATGAATTTGAAATCATGTAAAATATGGGCAGATTGCAATGCAGCTTTTACAGAATAATGTATGTAATTTAGTTGTATTGAAAGTGTGTCCACCAAAATATTGCTAATAGTTTTTATTGTTACAAAGGTACTATTGCTATATCTTTGTCATCTATTGTTTGAGCAAATTACAATCTAGTGTATCTTATAGATACTGTTATCTGGCACCGGCTCAACTGAGTGATGAACTTAAGGCTATTACTGTAAACATTTTGTACCATTTTAAACAAATAAAATATATAAAAAAGAATGCTTTGGCACCAAATCTGAAAAAAATCAGTGTTGCACTACGTGGCCTGATTAACATCAAATGATTGTTTTTTCCCCTACAGCAAGTTGGTAGTCTGTATTTGAAAGGTTTTACTCTTTAGCCTTCTAGACCTGGAATAATCAGCTGATTTGTGGCTGGTTTCTGAATGTGAGAGTTTGGTGCTTTTGTCGTATACAATGTAATAGTGAACTGTGTGTTTTAGACTTGGGTGCAGTAATTAATCAATTTGAGTACATCATCTCAGTCTTGGGGAAATTTTCACAATTTTCTGAGCTTTTATGTAGAAAATAAGTTGTACATATAAACAACATTTAAAATACTTGATTAAGAAAATTATTAGCAGCTCTGCTTTGATAGGTTCTGCCCATATTGAGGTGTGTGGCCATGTTTTCATGCGCCATTATTGCAAGTGCTGGATGTAAAATTTAATTGGAAACTGTTGCTGCTGATGTGTTGAGCCTATCATCAGCAGTGCAGTGACATGCTGGAGATGACAGACTGGTAAATTCCTGAAGCTATGTAGGGGACTGTGGGTCTGGCCTCAGGTCCCTCAGGTGAACAGTAGCTGCTGGTATTTGCCTCCATGGACAATTGCCTCCATTCATGTGCCCCTGACTAACCTGATAGACTGCTCCCCTGTACACCTGTGTGATCATGTGATTGTTGTGCTTAGGACACTGGGCTGATTGTCTACCCTGACTAAACAGAATTGTCACGGGTCCGCAGCAGGGATGTGTGGACAAAAAAAAAAAAATTTCCCCTAACACTGTCACCCCTTTCACGGGGGGCAGAGTTTACCCTGAGCTGGTTCCTGTGCTCTGCAGTAACAGGCTTTCATTTTTATTTTGCCTTGAGTTTGCATTTGTATGTTTTCTTGAGCCTTAAGTCAAATACCAGATAGACAATGGCACTGTAATCACATTGAAACAATATTGTTGGTCAGGTGGTTGGTTCACAAGTGGTTGGACAGACTGGACCTTTCCCCTGGGTGGTGTTTATAAAACGTATAATCATGACTGCATGTTGACAGGTGTGAGGCTTATACACAGACCAAACACAAAACCATGGCTGCACTTACCATTGAATATTGGTATGTTTTTAACTTCATTAACTCTGTTGTCCTGATTAGCACCTGCCACATTCATTTTTAACCAACAGATGCACAGTGCTAAATGGTAAATAAGGCTGTAGTCATAACTTAAGGCCTATGGTGAAAAATAACTTTTTTCAGTTTGTAGCAGTCCTGTCTTTATGCACATAATGTGACTATACAGCTTTACTTTTCCAGTTAAAGTAACATTAAGTTTCAGAATAAGCTGAAGGATCAGGCAGAATAGAGTTTGAGTAGACTAAACACTACTACATATTTTAATTGAACTTATTCATATTGACTGGAAATGCACATTTTCTTTGCATATAACTTTCACTACCTCATAAAGGATTTCTGCAGAATTCAAAACAAACTAAATTCTGAGTTCAGTGAGCCAGTTAGGCACGATGTCAGTAAGACTTTTACAGTAAATGTACACACACAACATGCTTTTATTCATCCTCTAAAGCAGTTATAAATCTGAAGGCTTGCCAGACTTGGCCTTTAGCCTTACATTTTTTCATGTGAATAACTGGACACCTTTTATTTCTCTGAAAACTACCCAAATAAAACGGAGAAACAAATCTTGAACTGGTAATCATTGGATATGATATGAAAATAAGACATCGTTGTTTCTGAGATTATATACTAGTAAAATCATTCAACTTTTACTTAAAGAAAAGTTGTTTAATTTGACTTTTTATTTTTTGCCAGAGTGCACATTCCCCATCTTGGATAAGCAGTAATGGGTAGATCCCAGTATAGAAGAGGAGCAGTGCACGGTGGGAGATGTCAACATGTTCCTGACCGACCCAACTGACCTCTCCTCGGCCGAGCTGGAGATCATGACAGCAGGTGATGCCCAGTGTGCTTATCTTAAAAGTGATTCCAAATCAAAGTACAATCTACCTGTGGTGGAGCAGGAAAAATAATAAATGCAAAATCGTCATGAGAATGTAGGCAGTAGTTCTTATTCTTCTTGTGATGTGTATTGGCGGTTTGCAAGCCAACTTACGGTACATTAACTCCACCTAGTGGGCTGGAGTGTGGAACAATAATAGAAGAGCAGGCAGCAGTGGATGAGCTACTGCGGTTTAGTGTGAATCACACCCGAATCTGATTGGACAGTGACAGTCCAATCACAGAGCAGAGTCAATTTGTCCAATCAGGTGGGTTCTTCAAGCTGGTCTCCGGTGGCGGTTCTGTAAGTTTGTACTGGAGATTCCCGATAGATGACAGATGACATTAGAAAATTGTAGAACCACAGTAAACATTTCCTGTGTTGTGTTCTGTATGTAGGCAGCGCACAGGTGCTTCGCTGTTGACACAGTTGTCCAAATAGATGTTTTCTATTCCAGGTGGGATACTTCATCTAGCGTTAGCCGAATGCTAATGTAGGACATTAGCCGTCCAGTCCTCTTGCTTTGCTTGAGCCTGTCAATTGTCAGGCTAATTGTGAAACCTGCTCAATCTAGGAGAAATCTTAGAGTTGACTTGTAATTTATTCCCAGTTGGATGTGTAGTCTTGTAGATGAAATAACTCCTCTAGTTTTACATGCCCTATTAATGTAAATGTCTTTGATATTTAATACTAATCGTAATAGAAGACGCGGGCCGGTTTGGGCTTCACCGGATCTTCATCAGCATGGAAACTTATAAAGTGTTTGCACCTGTTTGTTTCCGCCCTGATGAAGACCCAGTGAGGTCAAAACCGGTCGGCGTCTTTTTACCGAGATGCCCTGTTACAGGTAAGAGTGCTACATTCAACACGTTACTTAAATAATAATGCAAAGGCATTAGCAGTGAAATATACCTAAATTACCAAAAGTAGTCACTGTGTAGAATAATAGAATGTATTTTACATTGATGTATGTTATTTGGTTATAGTTTCTGGTGCATTATTGTGTTAATCATTTTAATGTTGTACCTGGTAAAGGTGGAGAGAATTTTAATAGTTAAAATTTGAACTTCTGGTGAGTAGCTTGTAAATGTCTCGCCAGAGATTACTGAAGTCTCATGATTAGGCTTATACTGTATTTCCTTTTTATTCATCTAATTCTGAAAAGAAACTATAACCTCAAGTTATCAAATAAATCTAGTGGAGTAAAAAGGTATGGTAAGATGTGAAGAAGCAGAAACTAGAAATAAGTACAGATGCCTCAATTACACTTATGTACAGTGCTTTTTCCAGTTCGATGCTGTTACTTCATTAATGTGACTAGTAAGTATAGGCTGGGAACATTAAGGAAAGATCAGGGGAGTATGGGAGGAGAGGCTTAGATGTGCAAGAAATGTGAATCGATTAGAGAAAACAGTTGTCATTAAAACTCCTGTTTAGCCTCAAAGTGCATCATATAGTGAGAAACCTGGATAAAGAATGCAATAGCTCTTTAATGAATCTTATTTGTGTAAAATGTGCATTTAGTAAGTGCATTTGGTGAGATTGTCAAATTCAATTATATGTTAATTGAGGTCATAGATAAAGGTGGTGTTGTACTGGGCTACACTATATTCAGAGGTGTTCCTAATATTCTGACCATGTATGTCAATGGGCAGGACAGAAGTATACAATTTATACAGTTCAAGCTTCATAAACACAAATCTTAAGGCAGTGTTGCATTGAAGTGCATACAGATGTGCAGTGGTCGTAATGTTATGCCTGATCGGTGTATATCAGTAGGTTAAACAATTCAATAGGTTAAACAGTTCTCTAAATTAGGCTTTATACTAGTAACTCTGCTTTAAAGTCATTTAAAGCTGACAACTTTACAAATTCTACAAGGTTGACTGTAGTATACTTAAACACTGTACATCTTAATTTGATTGCATGTTTCATTGGAATGTCCTCTACGCTTAGGCTATGGGGAAAGACAAAAATAGCCTGTGCACATTCCCTCACAGCGTGCCTGCCTTGAAGCTAAGATGGGCTGGACACAACGGGGAAGCCTTATTCCTGTCAACCCTCATAATGACATTGAGGCGTGTGTTTATGGAATTAAGCACAAGTTGCATTACAGTCATTAAGAAAAATGTTTGAATATTTTATTTGAGGGACCATTTTCCAGCTGTGGACAGTGAAGGACATTTTTCAAGTTTTTATTTTGTGTGGGAGTGAGTTTATTGGTTTGTTTTGGGCTAAGATGGAGCACAGTGAAGAACCAAGACCTGAACCAGAGAGTTAAGTTGTAATAGCTTTATTGAAGAAAAACAGATTTAAATAAAAAAACCCTGTGTTCAACATTTTGTCAGGGCCCTTAAACACTGGGAAATCCCTACTGGTGCAGTCATCAAGGTAGAGTACCTCACATTTTCTCCGGTCATACTAGTTCTCTTGTAGTCCCATGACTGTCTTTATAACACCATGGAGAAAACGTGAGGTACTGTACCTTGACAGCACCAGTAGTAGGGATTTCCCCATCTTATTCAAAACTCCAGCAGCTGGCTTAGCTGGGATGGAGTGGCTGCAAAAAAAAAAGTTTTGTAAAGCTTTTATTTCAATAAATGGTCTATTTATAAAACAAACTCGCCCGTCTCTGTGCATGTCCTCAAGAATGCTGCTGATGATTGTCTGGCCACGGAATGTGCCTGAGGGGGAAAGGAGAAAAAAAGCCCGAGTTTAAAGCATGATATGCTCCAATTTCAAACCATCACATTGATTTTAATAGGTTTGCTTCATTTTGAAGCAAAGGCTTTGAGCAGGCACATTTGTACATGCACAATGGACACTGCAAAAGTTCCAAGTCAACATTATCTATTTTGACAAAATCAGGGAGAGAGAGAAAAAAAAAAGCCACCTTGGGATTCAAGATGTCATCTCACCACATGCTGAAATAGCCGTCTCTGAATTACTGGTGGAAAGTCCGAACAAAAGACCAGATGGGTTCTTCACCATCAAGCCTATAAGGAACATTCACTTCTGTTTACCCTCAATTTATGAAACAGGCCATGCAAATTTGATCTTGAACAGTAATTTAAGTTGTAAAGCACCGCTCTTGTAAAAAGGTTCCACATTTAAGCAACACTAAACTGAAGGAATGTTAAATTTCACTTTGAGAAACTATCCACAGCAATAGGAATTTAATGAAACATTTCCCAGTGGTCTGAACAATTTACCATCTGAATTGTTGTTTGGAGGTTTGTAGTGTGAGCCCACAAGGCTTTGGGTTGTCTTCTTCACTGGGCCGTGTGCCTCAAGTTCTGGAGTTGATGTCCTCAGCAGGTCTTCAGGTGCACTGTATTCAAATACATTGTACAGTGTATAATATGAAGTGTTGAAATAAATAGTTTTACAGTTAAGCCGGCCTTTCATGAAACAATAATGAACCATGTAAATATTGTGTATACATCTTTGTAGAGTATGGTTAGTCCTACTGTTGTGCATATTGCCAAAATACAGCAAGTGAACACGAGTAAAGTACCATCAAGTACTAGTACAGTCTCAATACAATTCTACTTTGAACAAAATGATACAGGAATATTTTAGCAGCTCTGTAGGTTTTGCTTGTACCACAAGGTCTATATTCCAAATTTAGTATGATGCAAACGGATTAGAAAGCCTGTGGCGGTAATTAAAAGCTGGTGAATCCACGTCTAGTGAGATTAGTGTCACCTACCTTTATTCATGAAGAACAAAGACATCCTTCATACAACAATGCAATAAACCACCCCATACACTGCATCCTAAAAATGCCCACCCAGAGAATCTCTGAAGATGGAGAATATTTTATATCACTGTTTCTATTCTGGTGAACTTACCCATCCACAGCTTAATAGAGAAGGGGTGTAGTGTCCATCTGTAAAGATGGAAAATGTAAATGTTGGTCATCTGGAGCATCTTGTGTAGCAAACAGACAGGATCTACATTCTCTGGCCATTGCCACCATGGCCAGAGGATGTAGAACAGGAGTAGAATAAGACAAGCTTGTCACAAATATGTGATTAAAAAAACATTTACAATGAAAATGAAGTGTCTTCATTTGAAGAGCACCTCTGTTTAGTATTTTGTACACATTAACCATTATGGGCACCAGCAGTGAATTAACACGTGGTCTCCCTCTTACTTTGTTTTTACAAGACTCCATTACTTGTAGCTTTATACAAGTCATCCTCCAGTTGGTCTTCTTTTCTGGATACTCATAGATCTTTAGTAATCTAGATTTAGACATGAAGTTCTCTCCATTGTTAGCAGGACACCATTCTTTAACGTCCACTTACTGATAGTTTGTCATTAAATACTGGCATTGCTTCCACTGTCAATAAAACCCGGTATTAATTTAAACAAAACAGGCTTTTCAGGCCGTTCATTAATGGTGACTGGCAGCTGATGGTTCCTCCTCAAACCCCACATTGGACAGAACAGCGCGGGTATTTCACCGAAACAACGGTAACCAATACATGCACAGCTTTCAACAACAGTGTCAAACCCATTTGCACACAACAAAACACATGAACATTGGCGGCCGGTCAGGGTGGCCACAGTATATACTAGTAAGGTTAGACACGCTATCGTTTTCCCTGTAATGTACTGTACATTTACACAGAAGATCGCACAAATACGGTGACATGCTATCATTAGTGATGGCCGATGAGGCCTTGTTGAAGCTTCGACACAGTGTTCACACCAATGGTTCATGACTCGAGGCCTCAATGACACAGTGCTCCAGTAGGACATCTAGTGGTCAAGACATTGAAGTGCAGTCAAGACGTCGCTTACTGGTTCATGGATTGGGATTTGATTCACCATGCACATTCCTGTTCCACTACACTACATGGTTGTATGGTTTCAAGCTGACACAATAAAATATAAAATAAACATGGACACATGTTGAAACCCATGTTTCTTATGTGGCACGTCTGACTGTAGCCCTATATGCTCCTCACTTATATTTTGTGTTAAGAAAACATTTAAATGGTGCTGCTACATTCATGAGATGTGCTCTACAGATTCAGACAGATGTCATTTTCATATGGGGCTGGTGCAAATACAGATTATAGTATGGGGTTCATTGGTAAAGAGGTTCATGGGTATGTGGGTAAAGAGGGTGTGCTTGGGTAACTTTGAGTGTTTTTTGAGAAATAACAGTATATCCACAGTTTTCAGACACAAGTGGTTTCTCCTTTTACAGACTATTTAGTTTCATTTAAATGAGCAAGACTGAATATATTATTATCCCCGATCCAGCTGCGGTTGTATCCAGTTTAGGTGCTTCAGCCTCCTCACTCACAGATAAAACCTTGGAGTGATATTTGATAGTGGCTTTAATTTTGATAAACAGATCAGGTCCGTGGTTAAAACCAGCTTTTTTCACCTGAGACTTTTAACGAAGGTGAAGCCTTTTTTATCGCGTGCAGACTTAGAAAAAGCCATCCACGCTTTTATCACTTCACGACTAGACTACTCTAATGCCCTCTATGTTAATCGGTCCAAAACGCTGCGGCTCGGCTGCTGTCGAACACTCCCAGGTATATGCCCACATCTCCCAGGTATATGCCCACATCACCCAGGTATGCCCACATCACCCAGGTATATGCCCACATCACCCCCGTCCTTCTCTCCCTACACTGGTTGCCAGTACAGTGCAGAGTTGAGTTTAAGATGTTGCTATCTGTCTTTAAGGCTATATATGGCCTCGGGCCACCGTACCTGTCGGATCTGCTTTCTATCTATGCTCCTCGACGCACCCTGGGATCAAACCCGCGCACGCTGCACCTTAACCACTAGCCTACCAGGAACGGCTTAACCACAAAAGGGAACCAATTCGAGGGAACACGCCTGGCTCGCCTTCAGCCTGAAAGGCTTCTTGCTAGCGGAGTTTTGTTGAGGATACACGTTAACATTAAATCTCGCTAACGCTAGACAAAGTAGCCTACATGAACTCGAAACGTCATTTATTCCGCTGCTTTACCTCAGTAACAGCTATGCATCTGCACACACACAGAACGCTGCACATTAAAATGTAGTTGTAAAAGATGTACAGAAGGTCAGCCTCATCATCTGTCAGCCAGTTCACCGTCTGTCCTTCCATGCACGCTGTTGTCGTGCTGCCTTGTAAACTCCACCCACTGACAGGTGGCTGTAACGAGCTCATCAGTGTCATTCACTTCACCTGTCAGTGGCCAGGGCGCGTTGTGTGCGCGCGCGCGACTCAGAGAGCAGAGGAGAATTGTAAACGCGCGACCATGTAGAGACAGAAATGACATACCGTTGTGTAAATAAGATAAATAGCATAAGGCTATTTGTTTAATAAAAGAACAAGGTACACATCTGGGTCTACAGGCTTGGTATCAGGGTGCTGCTCTCTGCTTGTACTGTATAGTGGTTTGTTAACGGGGGGGGCCATGAGAGGCAGTGAGAATTAGAAATCCCTCTCAAGATGTTGATCTCATTCAGACATTCAGCTCATTGCTTGACAGGCTGTCCATTTATGTATCTGACTGATATTTTTGCAGACTCACAGCATAGTAGCAATTTGTGTTAATTTAAGGTAGGGTCTTCTAATGATAGTTTTCCATGTTTCTCTCTCTGACTAAAATTCGGTTTGATAACATTTGCAGCTGGCAAATCTTTTTTTTCCAGTTGGGATTCACAACATTATTAATGCAGTGTTGTAAGTTTGTTTATTCTTTCACCTTTCAGTTCGCTTTGGGGCTTTTACTTGTGAACAGGTCGGCGGGAAGGGTTCAGAGGTCCTAGGGTCAAAGGTTACAGCTCATACAAGACTAACTAGTGAATTTGTACAACCAAAGAAATCTATTTTGTGGTTCAGGAATAATACATATTACTTTTCATTTAAGAAGCTGATTCACTGTATTGTGCTTTTTGTCCTTGACAGATTGAATGTGCTAAAACCACCAGACACGAATGAAGCACATTAGGTATGGAAAACCAAAAAGGCCAAGTTGTTTGCACATTGTGTGTCAATGTGTAAAAATTTGACATATTGTTAACCCGTAAAGTACATGTCAACATAATAATCTAAATATACCTTTGTATATATCTGTCTGGAAAACTGCAACTAAACTGTGTGTGTATATTTTTTTGTATTTTAAGCACTTTATTGTTTCTTTTCCTAATGCTTTTCTTGTTTGCACATTTTTTTGTTTTTGTTCTCTGTCTTGTTTACTCGTTTACTCATTGCCTTACAGAAGAACAATGTACATGCACATTGAGAGCCGTTGGGCCAACACACCTGGCCAGTAAAGCTGATTCTGATAATCCTGTCACACAGACCATTTCTGTTATATCTCTGCATTTCAGCCTACATCAGAGCCAGACTATACTTCCACTGAGGGACTGTAGGATAGTGAGTACTGAGATGGTGTGTCTGTGTGTCATTTATACTCCACTCATGCTCTGGGACTGGGAGCCTGCCATGTATTCCTTGATCAGAAACTCATCCTTTCACATTTGTGTTGTATTACTCCCACAGACGGCGTGGAGGTGTCAGTGGATGGTCAGTTGGTCCACTCCAAGCCTGAGATAGGAGTATTTCCTGATACTGGACAGCTTAGCATGTTTGTGAGATAGATATTTACTATTTTTTTTAAAGAGAAATTTTACTGTCAAATGTCATAAAAGAATCCTCTGCTTTAATGGATTGCTGGTAAATTGTTTATGAAAACACCTGTTCATATTTAGTGTTTGAACAACAAAACCAGCTAATTACGTTTTCCTTAAGCGATAATTAACTATTCAAACTAAAACACAGTGTTCAGCATTTAACAGAGTCATTCTAAATAGTAGTGGTAAACCAGTACTTTCCATGAGACATAACTGTTACTTGTGGTCTGGTTTCCATGCAAACAGTCTTTAGCGGAACTTTATTTTCGTTTCTGTTTTGCTATTACATAGTTCCCAGAAACGCAAAGGAGGAATTACCAACATTTTATCTCGAGTCCCCATCCATTGATGTGAAATGGACACATGCATAAGCAGAGACAATTTTATTACATCCAATTGAACTTTCGTTTCTTTTTTTTTCTTTTTTTAAATAAACAAGTCTAAGAGTCTATAGCTATGCTACCAGTTTGTGAGACTGTAGGCACAGCGATGACAATGCTAACATGCTGGTGTTGGTTTTGGAGGTATTTACCAAAGAACTAGAAGTGCTGGAAAAGTACTCAGATCCCTTACTTTAAAAGTTACACTACACAACAGTGTAAAAACTCTGTTATAAATAAAAGTCCTGCATTCAAAAGGTTACTTAAGTAAAAGTACAAAAAGCATCAAAACATACTTAAAGTACTAAAAGTTAAAGTATTCATTGTGAGGACTAGCACATTTAACATTCATGTATATCATTGTACCTCACATTTAATGTTGCAGCTCTGTAAAGGTAGAGCTAATGTTAATTACCTTAAAGTCTATACAGGCAAGTGTAGCGTCCAGAGTCTCTGTGGGTAGTGATCAGAGTTGACAGTAAAGGCTGCGCGTGCGCCACAATGAACATTCATTCACCTCAGGCCAGTGAATCAGTCAGACTTCCTGAACTGTTCCCGCTCACATGTCCCACTTGTTTCCTATAGATAAAATATATCATATCTGAAAAAGCATGGAAACCCATAGCCTCCCGTTAATGTTCACATATTTAAAGCACTAAAATAGGGTATATTTTATATTCTCATTATGGGTTTTTATATTTTGAATTGCCATCGTGAGAGTAACTATAGCTTTTAAATAAAACGAATGGAGTTCAAAAGTACAATCTATGAAATAGAACAGTAATTGTACCTAGTTACTTGTCAGCAGTGGAGACTCCACTGTGAAATTAGAAATGTTATGTTTTTTTGTTTGTTTTGGATTGTTCAGAGTACCAGGCTACCCCTTATCACATCCACACTGTCCTGTGTGGGGGGGAAAGTGCAGTAACCTGATGAAATGATTGATATCTGGATGAACGTTGGCGTCTCTGTTGCTGTGTTGCTCAGGCCTGAGGTCAGATAGTTTAACCTGTTCTTTCAGCAGACTGATGAGCATGTGACATGCAGTAAGCTGCATGTCTGGTCCTGAAAACACTCAACTGGCAATTGTTGCTCAAGTGAGAATCTGTGGCAGCAGGAGAGCGTGTAGGATTCATTCAGATCGGACTTGTTAATCAGGATAAATAACAGTCAACTGAGCTCTGTGGCAGGGAGCAATAAGCTAAATCAGATACATAGACATTTGTTAATAGGGTCAGTGTGTTGTTGGTCTTCTCTGGGGATTTGCAGCAGCAGATGTATCCTTTAAAGGGACAGATATTAATCAGCTTAACTTTTGAATATGAAAAGCATATTTTCTGCCTATAAACTTGTTTTGAAGCTGGGGTCACCATCCATGTAAAGAGACAATAACAAGAGATTTGTCTGCTGTTTGCGATACTCTGCTGGGGTTCCACCAGTAAACTAAAACAGGAAACACAGATACCCACATCAGAGGGTGATCATGAGTCTCAGTTTCACAAAGTGTGAATGACGTGTTAACCATAGGTTGACCATAAAGAAGAAATACCCGATATAGGACAGTGATGACGAGTATGAAAAAGGACACACACACACACACACAGTGTATTTTTGGCTCATTTGTAATGGACAAGTTTGTGACTTAATCTTCACTGTATGTCTGTGAAACAGTTTGTTCAATTCAGCTGCTAAAGACTAGGTCTGCCGGTGTGTAGGCTGCTGTGGCCCGGGTTCAATTCAGAGTTGCGTCAGGGAGAGTATCTGGCGTAAAACGTCTGCAAAAATTCAACCATGCGAATAGTCAGTGTGGAAACCCCTTAATGGGGAGAGCCGAAAGTGACAGACAGACCTTGTGTCTTATCAGTGAAAGTTTTTTTTTTAAATAAAATCTTTAGTTATTTTACCCTCAAGACTTTTCTCCGGTGCATTTTCAGTTTGTGTTAATGTTCGAGTGTTTTCCCCATACATGGCAGCTAGCAGCCAAAGCACGAGTTGTTAGGTTAACTTACAACTAATCCAGCAGAGCAAAACTCAAAATTTTTGTTTTAAAATAGCCTTACTGTTTTAATTTGTATATAGCTTAATCCATTTGTTACAAGTACAGTTTGACAGGTCGGGTGGAGCTTTTGAACTGATGGTCATGTCTGTATAAACCTGAGGGTCTTACTGTAAACTACAGAATCATCCACTGAGGTCGTGTGACAGGGTGTGTGCATGTGTGCATTGAGGATGAAGGGTGCGTTTCTGTAGATAGTGTGCCGATTGTTGTGTAAACAGAGCAAGCAAAGAGGACATGATTTGACAGCCTAAGCTTTTTTCCGCTTTTAAACCGATAGTCCTTTTTGTTTTGTTTTTTTAAGTTAGGATGCAGCAGCTTTTAGCCTTGCGTGTTGTGAACATGGTCTCCGCTGTACCTGAGCTCTCTGATCAGAGCTCGACATCAAGTCTGAACAGCTACAGACTTTTAGGGGAAACCAAGAAATTGTAAAGGTGACATCACTGTGCTGAAAACAAAATGGGCTTTGCTGCACTCAATCGTAAGAATCACACCATGTTTTTTTTTTTTCTTCATTTATTACAAAAACAGTGACAAATAAATAGGGAAAAACAATGTAAAAATATAATGTTTAAGACATCTTTGGAGGGAATTCATACGAATATGTTTAAGTCGTTTGGTCACCAGTTTACTAGGTTGATGAGATATTTTCTTAAAACATTTTATAGCACCTTTGTGTGGTTATCAGCACTGCATATGACGGCACCGCTGAGCACATAAGTCAGACATTTCACATCAATGTAGGACAGACTTAATGAAACAATTTGAATAGCCATGGATTGCTGGGAAAAGGGCTACTGCCGTTTCATTTCATATAAATATAATTTATTAATTTATAC